TCGCAGCCCCGGCCACCCGGGTGCTCCCTGGGAGCCTCCGAGGCCCCACCCCCTTGCAGCGGCCCTGCCCCTTCGATACCATCACCGGACTCAGAGCGACCCTCAGGGGCCGCCCCGTCGCCCAGCGCAGCTTCCCTATTGAAGGCTAGATCACGGCGCTCGCGCCCTGGACATCTGGGACTGGCAACTTTATTCTGAGGAAATTCGTTTTCCTGCTCTGTTCTGCTTTTCTTTCTTCATCCCACATTCCGTGCGCGCCCCAAGGAGAAACCAATCTCACTACTTGGGTGCAGTTCCCTTCAGTGTCCTTGGATTTGAATTTTCACTCGGGGGCCACAGACACATTATTATTATTATTATTATTATTATTATTATATTTTTAAAAATTCTTAAAATGTAGGCAGATTTTTGTTCATTTTATTTATTTAGTTTAAATTATATTGATCAGATTTTCATATTTTTTAAAGATATGTTTTTCAGAGAGGAAGGGAGAAAGGAAGAGGGAGAGAGATAGAAACATCAATGATGAGAATCATGGATCCCTGCCTCCTGCACACCCCACTCTGGGGATGGAGCCCGCAACCTGGGCATGGGCCCTGACCAGGAATCGAACCATGACCTCCTGGTTCATAGGTCCATGCTCAACTACTGAGCCATGCCAGCTGGGCCACAGACACATTTTAAACATGAGTGAAACTTGACTGTCTGGGTGGGGATCATCTCAGGGCAGGCGGCTACAGCCCTGGGTTGGGGTCTCTTGAAGGCCTGTGATTCCATGCTCTGAGATCCTTCCTTATAGCCAGGACACCCTGTGGGTAGCTGAGGGCGGGATGGGAGGGGCTACTCACATGGGTGGGGTCAGAGGGAGGTGGCCCAAGATTAAGTGGGGATGGAGCCAGTTAGGTGAGAAGTTCCTGGCAAGGAGAATAGCTCAGGCCTGGGGCTGAGCAGCAGTAAGGAGCCTGGGGCTGGGAAGGTTCTGAGCAGCCTGGAGGCTGTGCTGGGTTCGGGGGAGGTATAAAGGGGAGAGGGACCTCGGAGGGGGCTGCAAGGTGGGAATTAGGTCTCTGCTACTACCTTCAAACAGGCTCTCACCCATGTAGTACTATGGCTGCTGGAAATGAGAGTGCGTAGTGCCCACCTAATTCCTTCCGGGGTTGGGGGGGTGGGGGAAGATTGAAACCCTCATCGCTTTTCCATGCAGCCCGTTGGCCTTTGCCAGCTGGGTCCCATCTTTAAGCCTGGGTAACATGATCTTCTGGCCTTCCCCAGAGGCCCTTTGACCATGGGGTGAAGTTCAGGTTCCCCTGGGCTGACTTGAAACTCCAGCTTGGTTTCTTGACCTTCCCAACTCTGGCAGTGCTCAAAGCATACAGGCCTCTTTCCTGTATTCAAGATGGACCCTCTTGTACTTCCTCATCCCTTAAAGAACTTCCCACTGTCTCTCCCTCCAGGCAGCCCTCCCTGCCAACTGCAGGGCCAGGGGTGTCTAGTCCAGCTCTGTCTAGGGGCCTGGCCTTGCACCCTGGGTCTGGGAGGTACCTGCACACACACACAGCAATTGAGTGACCTCATCTTCCAACTCTCCCCATGCATGAGGGTAAAGTCCATGGGCTGGGTCTGGACAGCTTCCCAGTCACTGAGAATTTAATGGAGGGGTGACCTTGACCTGCCTGGGGGGGGGGGGGGGCCTGGAGACCGCTGGCTTCCCATAGCTACTCATCTGTACGTAGGACTTTGGCAAGGGTCACCTCTTTGCCCTGCCTGGGCACAGCACCCATGGAAGGGGGACGGTGGTATACGGCACCCAATCTATTCTGCTGTTGAGACCCTCCCAGCCCCTGAAGCCCCCGCTGAGACCTGGCCCAGGTCACCTGCCCAGCCGAGCTGTTTCTCCTGGCAGCATCGATCAGTGTATTGTTAGTTCACTGTCACAGCCCCCGTTCTGATTCACAGTTGGTGCTCAGTGTTTGCTGAATGCAGGCTGGCCCAGGAGCCTCATTCTAGCTTGAATTGAGCCCATGAGCCCACAGGGATTGAGCATGACCCACTGGGTGCATGTGTGGCACAGGTGGGTGAGTTGTGGACCCTTCAAATTTCCAGGCTGATACTTAAAGCATGGCTGCAGCTGAAGATCCCCGGGTGTTTCTGCACAGATGTGAGGTACTGGATCTAGAGACATGGTAGCTCTCAGCACACATCGGCCAGGCCACCCACAGGCCTCACATCCTCTAGGACAGAGGTGGGGAACGTCTGGCCCAAGGGTCTTACAAGGCCCACAAAATCATTTGGTCTGGCCCTGCCAAGGCATTAAGGGTGAGTTAATTAAATGTCTGACCAAATACAGCAGGCTAATTTTTAAGTTAATTTTTTTAAAAAATATGTTTTTATTGATTTCAGAGAGAGGGAGAGGGAGAGAGATAGAAATATCAATGATAAGAGAGAAACATTGATCAGCTGCCTCCTGAACGTCCCCTACTGGGGATGGCCTACAACCCAGGCACGGACCCTGACCGGGAATCGAACCCTGACCTCTTGGTTTATAGGTTGATGCTCAACCACTGAGCAACACCAGCTGGGCTAAGTTGGTAATTTTGAATGATGTTATAAATACCCAAATGGCCCTTGGCAGAAAAAAGGTTCCCCAACCCCTGCTCTAGGAGGTGTGAGACATTTTAGCACACAGCTGTCCCACAGAGGCATGAGCCCCAGGGACACGTGTACACCACACAGGTGGGACCCAGTGCAGCTGTGGCAGCATGGGCTGCAGCCATCACTGGCAGGGAATATCATCTGACAGGGAGGTGGGTAGCATAGGTGTGCCCTGGGGAAGGCTAGGCCCTGCCTGGAGATCCCTCCCCAATTCCCTTCCATAGCACAGTGCTAGGCTAGGAGGGCCTGCCCAAGTGTGGCTCTCCTCTCTACTCCAACCCAGGCTGATGAGGGATGGAGACCCAACAAGCAAAGGTCCAGGTGGTGCTTTTGGATTCCTCAGGTGCTGGGGAGCTTTCACACAGCATCTCATTCTCACCTGCCCTGCCCAGCCCAGCTGCTGAAGAACAGGAGGGGTCTCTGGTGATGGCACAACCAGGCTCCCACAGTGGGCAAGCATTGGGACTTTAATACATAGCATGACACTTGAGACAACGGAAAGGGCGGGCAGAAATGCAGTCCAAAACATTCTACAGTCCACGAATGCTTGGTTGGTTGTCTGGAAAGTATGTTTCTGTGTTTCTCCAGAATACTCAGTAGTAAGGCCGCCTGGGGTTGTTCTGTGGGAGGCAGTACGATAAAAAGGGAGTGCGTTAATGCTAAGACAGATGGCAGCCCCTCCCACCCAGAACCTTTCAGGGGCAGCTGAGCTCACTCCTTGAGATGGCTGGCTTTGGAGAGGAAGAAGGGGCTCAAATGCAGGTGGAGTGGTGGTGGGGGTTGTTGGTGAGACCGGGACTAAGGGAGGAGGGACCCTCTGTTACCGGCACTACCACCCCACTACTGAGGACAGTGAGGAACCAGTGGCCACACCAGAGGAATGTGGGGGATGGGGATGCACGCACCAGAGGGTTGGGCCGGAAGCGATAAGCCAGCATCATCCTCTTGCGGAAGGCCTCGTACTCGTCATCCTCCTTAGAAAGCTCTGCTGGCCGGTCAATGCCAAAGCCAGCGCCATCCACTGTAGTTGTGCCCCTGTGGGGGATGAGGGAGGGTGCAGAATGTGGGCAGAAAAGCAGGCTGGTGTCAGCAGGAGAGCAGATGCCCAGCCTGAGCTGGGACAGGAAGGCTTAGCCCACCAGCCTGCCTAGGAGCAGCAGCAGCAGCTCAAAGTGGGGCTGTGGGGGCCACGCAAGCTGTGCTGGGCTGGAGAAGAGCTAAGTGGGACACACAGGAGGGAAGAGCCTGAGCTGGGCTAGCCACCATAGTTCACAGCTAGGCCTGACTCTGGCCCAGGGGCAGGACTAGACCCAGACCCTGGGACTAGTTTGGGATACTCCCTCACCCGCATCCTGTATCAAGGGTCACACTCACTTGTTAACTGGGTTCTTGATGCCCTGGCCCTCTGAGCCTAGACCGTCACCCTCCTTCCAGCCCATCTTCATCAGCATCTGGTAGCCAATATTCTCCACCGTCAGCTTGAATTCCTTGTACTCCGAGTAGTCAGGCTCACGGCCTTCCTGCATGACCAAGCAGCTGTCAACCCCTAGGGCCAAAACACGCCCCCTACAGCCTCACTGGCCACTAGCTGGGACCATCAGCTCATCTGTCCCCCACTTCAGACTAAGTTCCTCCTCCTCAGGGTTCCCATGGTCACACTTCGTGCTCTCTGGCAACCAAGTCAAAGAAGGCAAGGTGACAGTCACACAGGCCTCCTCTACCATGGGCAAGATTAATGATTCACTTACAAAGAAAAGCTCAGCTTCTGAGGGCGATTTGTTACACAAAGTGTGAAAAAGCAGCCACGGTCAACGAGGTGGAGAGGCTGGTGCCAGTCAGCTGTCTCTCTATGTGCAAAGGAAGAATGTTGAGCTTTCCTTCTGAGGAGCCCAGTCCATGGGGGCTTGTGCCTCCCATTGCATTAATTGGCTTCACTGGAAGCAGGATTTCCCAAAGCCCCAGGAAATGTTTCTAAAGTGGCAGCTGAGCTATTTGTGAATTCCCCAAATGGACATCTGCCAGGAACAGATGCCTTCTGTGGAAGAGGGCCTGGTTCCTCCTGTGTGTGAAGAGGCCGCCTGCTGGACAGGCCCACACCCGGGCTGATGGCTGGGGACTCCCCATTCACCTTTAAGGCTTTGAAGGTCTCCATGAACTTCTCCAGCTCATCTGGTGGCAGAAAATCTCCGATGAAGTGCTTCCCCCGACCCATCTTCGTCAGCTGCTCAGCCCACTCTGTCCGGAGAGATAGAAAAGGTAAAAGAAGGAAGAGGTGAGCGGCCACGAGAGAGGGAGGCAGCTGGGGGGAGACCCTGACCTGAACCCTGCTCCCTCAGGACAGCCCTGCACCACTCCTTTTACTACTGAGAAGACGGAGGCACAGAAAAGCCAAGTCTTGTGCGCAAGGTCTCACAGGCCAACAGGTGAGTGGGGCTTCCAGCCACCCCCACTGGAAACCTCAGCATACCCCGAGTCTTGTCCATCTCCATGCGCCGCAGCTGGTGCTCCCAGGTGCCCAGCTCGCTGTCCACCTCCTCGTCACTGTCGTAGCCATGCTGGTGCTGCTGCAGTGCCTTCTCCCACAACAGCTGCATGTCCTGCATCGCTCGCTTGTGCTGCATGATCATGTCATACATCTGCTGCATCTGTGGGAAGCACACACTGTGACAGGGCCTGCACCACAGAACCCAATCTCCCCATGTCCCTGTGGTGAGAGAGAGGCCCCTCTCTGTCTGCTCAGAACCGGGCATCATCACCATGGACTAAATGAGGGCAACTTGGGCTCCTTATCCCTAGGAATGTTAAGGGTGATGTGACAGAGCCCTGGCCTAGAGGAGGTGGCCAGGGTGAGGCGTCCCCAAGAACTGATAGGCCAGTGCCTCTAGTTGCCCAAGGAAGCAGCAAAGAGGCCAAGCTGACCCTTACCCCAACACTGCCCACTACCAGCTGAGTGGCCCTCATACCACTCAGGGCGCCCAGTGCTAGCCAGGCATGTCCTGGACTGGATACTGGAGGGAACTGGCTGGAAAATTTAAGACTACTGAGTGGGAACAGCCCACAGGCACTATGTGGAATAGTTATTGAGCACCAGCTGAGCGGGATGACAGGCCAGCATGAGGCGGCCTCAGCTCTGGGCCCAGCTATACGCGGGGGTTGGCATGGTATTGGTGGGGAACCAGCCTGCCCAGGAGCCTCTCTGCTGACTGTGTGATCACTGCACCATAGGTGAGGGGGGGCAATCTGCCACCAGCAGCTGTGGAGCCTGCTCCACCCTCTGGCCTTACCTCCTGTTGCTCCTTCAGCTGCTTCTTTTGGGCGTCTGACAGTTCCGTGACGCCTACTAGACCCACGGGCTTCCCCTTCTCGTAGCCTAGCCCCTTGAGGTCCTGAACTGGAAACAAGACACAGGTCAGTCAGTGATGGACACATGGGCCTGGCCCTGCTATTGTGTGTGCGATGCAGAATCCACTCACTGACAACACCCGAGGCACTTGGGGCGCGCACAGCAGAGCCCTCGTATCAGCTGTTAGTCTCTCGTGTCACATGAGGGCCACAGGAGTCACACCTTGCACTGTCATGTGCACCCGATTTCATTCCCACATGCCCTCTCCAGGGAGCCCCTACATCCCCATGTTGTAAACACCAACACCAGAACTCAGACGTCAGGGGCCTCAAACAAGGTCATATGGCTAATGGGTGACATGGTGGGGACTTTGCAGAGCCAGACACACTAGAGCAGAGACGAGAGTGCACATGCATGTGTGCACACGCACAAACACTGGCTTGTGGAAGTCTATCCTGTGGAGGACAGACACCTAGTATAGACATACACAGGTTTGGAGTCTGGTGTAAGACTCAGCTGTGTGGCTCTGTTTAGCTCCGCTGGAGAGGCAGCCAGTTGTCCTCACAGCATTTAATTTGGCATCAGCTTCGGAGCTTGGCTGGAGCTCCAGCAGCACTGATTCACGTGAAGATGCTGTGATGGCCCGTCTGGGTGTTAGTTTCTGGGGAAGAAGCCAGGCAGATGGGTGGAGAGGATCCTCTGGGAAAGTGAAGAGAGCTGGGTGCTCCAGCTCCCCATGGCTGGGGCTTTGCCAGCAAGAACCAAATGCAGATGCTCTGTGACCCCAGGACTGTACCTCAATCCCTCCTTGAAGAAGGTCTGTGGGGGCTTTGAACTATATGAGAGCCCTATGCAGAAGGCTTCTATGACAAGAATGAATGTTAAGTACTTTAAAGTTTAAGGGAGACAATAGGATCTATCTATATGTCATCTACAAGAAACTCACTTTAGATAAAAAGATACAAACAGGTTGAAAGTAAAAGGATGGGAAACAAAAATTCCAAGTAAATAGTACTGAGAGAGCTGGGAAGGATATACTAGTCTCAGACAAAATATACTTAAAGTCAAATAAGATTACAATATATAGACTCATGGTGAAAGACTGAAAGCTTTTCCCTTAAGATAAGGAGCAGTGCAAGTATCCCCACTTTTGCCACTTGCATTCAACATAGCACTGCAGGTCCTAGCCAAAGCAATTAGGAAAGAAGAAGAAAGATGAGGCATTGAAATTAGAAAGGAAGAGGTAAAATGGTCACTATCTGCAGATGACATAATCTTATATCCCTAATGAATCTACAAAAGGATTATTAAAGCTGAAAAATGAATTTAGCAAAGTTGAAAGATAATACACAAAAATCAATTGTATTTCTATACACTAAGAACACATAATCCAAAAATTAAATTTAAAAAGTTTTCACTTATAATAGCATCAAAAAGAATAAACCACTTAGGAACACATTTAAACAAGGAGATGCAAGAACTATAAAACAAAAACTACATGTTAGAATGAATGAATGAAGACCTAAGTAAATGAGAGACATCCTATGTATTCACAGATTGGAAGTCTTAAATACTGTTAACATGTCAGTGCTACCCAAAGTGACCTACAGATTCAAATGCAATCCCTATCAAAATCCCAACAGTTTTTTTGCAGATATAGAAAAGCCTATCTGAAAACCCATATGAAAATTCAAGAGACTCCAGGGAATGGCCAAAGCTTGAAAAAGAAGAACAAAATTGGAAAACTAACACTCCTGATTTCAAAACTTACCACAAAGGTACAGTAATCAAAACAGTGAGGTACTGGTGTAAAGAGAGACAGACAAACCAGTGTAATAGAACAGGGCCCAGAAAAAACCTTTACATCCATGGTCAACTCATTTTTGACAAGTGTGTCAAGACCATTTAATGGGGGAAGAACAGTGTCTTTAACAAATGGTGTTAGGACAACTAGATATCCACATGGAAAAGGATAAAGTTGGACCCTTACCCTATATCAGATATAAAACTTAATTTAAGCCTGCCTGGCATGGCTCAGTGGTTGAGCGCCAACTTATGAACCAGGAGGTCACAGTTCAATTCCTGGGCAGATTCCACCTGGGTTGTGGGCTTGATCCCCATTAGGGGGCATGCAGGAGGCAGCCAATCAAGGATTCTCTCTCATCATTGATGTTTTTATCTCTGTCTCCCTCTCCTTTCCTCTCTTAAATCAATAAAAAATGTATTTAAAAAATTAATTTAAAATGGATCAATGGATCAAATACCTACGTTTAAGCCCTGGCTGGTGGTTCAGTGGATAGAGCATCAGCTTGTGCACCCAAGGGTCTTGGGTTCGTTCACAGTCAAGGGCATGTACCTGGGTTGCAGGTTTGATCCCCAGCCCCAGTTGGGGCGCATATAGGAGGCAACCAATAGATGTTTCTCTCGCCCCCTCCCTCCCTCCTTTCCACTTTCTCTAAAGATCAATGAAAAAACTATCATCGGGTAAGGAATAACAAACACCTAAATTTAAGGCTTAAAACTATACACCTCCCTTCTCCAGCCCAGACAGCACCTGGACCATGGACCCCAGGGAATGCTCCTGCTTGTCTTAAGGAACATGCATCTGTGGAGACAACTGCAAATGCACATCTTGCAACTGTAAAACATGTCGAAAAAGCTGCTGCTCCTGCTGCTCCCGGGCTGTGCCAAGTGTGCCCGGGCTGCATCTGCAAAGGAGGCTCAAGCAAGTGCAGCTGCTGCCACTGAAATGCACCAGTCGTGCTGGGAGTGAGGCCTGGGAAGCGTCTGTACAGTGCGTTAGTTGAGAAGTTGAGATGATTGTGCTTGTCATATATTTGCCCCAATGAGGTGTTGGTGACATTCATGTAAAGTGTTGGAGCAATAAAGTTTTCACTCATGGGAAAAAAAAGACCTAAAACTATAAAACTCTTAAGAAAATACAGGGTCACCGTGGCCGGTTTGGCTCAGTGGATAGAGCGTAGGCCTGCAGACTGAAAGGTCCCGGGTTCGATTCCGGTCAAGGGCATGTACCTTGGTTGTGGGCACATCCCCAGTGGGGAGTGTGCAGGAAGTGGCTGATCGATGTTTCTCTCTCATCGATGTTTCTAACTCTCTATCTCTCTCCCTTCATCTCTGTGAAAAATCAATAAAATATATTAAAAAAAAAAAGAAAATACAGAGTCAAATTTTCATGACCTTGGATTTGGCTATGGTTTCTTAAATATGACACCAAAATCATAGGCCACAAACAAAAAATTAAATTGAACTTCATTAACATTTAAAACTTTTGTGAATCAAAAGACACTCTTAAAAGGGTAAAAAGACAATCCAAAGAATGAGAGAAAATATTTGCAAATAATATATGTAACAGGAGTTAATATCCAGAATACACAAAGAACTCCTACAATTCAATGACAAAACCACAAACAACCCAATTAAAAAATGGGAAAAGAACTAAAATAGACATTCCTCCAAATAAGCTATACAAATGGCCAACGAGCACATGGAAAGATGCTCAACACTATTAGTCACTAGAAAAATGCAAAAACTACAATGTGATCCCAGTTTATGCTGGCATGACTATAAGGCGAGGATGTGGAGAAATCGAAACTCTTGTGCATTGCTGGAGGGATGTAAAATGATGCACCTGCCATAGAGAACAGTTTGGTGGTTCCTTAAAAAGTTAAATGTACACCATAACCAGTTTGGCTCAGTGGATAGAGCGGCGTCGGCCTGCAGACTGAAGGGTCCCAGGTTTAATTCTGGTCAAGGGCATGTACCTTGGTTGCGGGCACATCCCCAGTGGGAGGTGTGCAAGAGGCAGCTGATTGATGTTTCTCCCTCATCGATGTTTCTAACTCTCTATCCATCTCCCTTCCTCTCTGTAAAAAATCAATAAAATATATTAAAAAAATAAAAGTGAAATGTAGAATCACCATATGACCCAGCAATTCTACTCTTAGGTATACACACAGGAGAACTGAGATAAGGGATCCAAATAGTACTTGTATATGTGTGTTCACAGCAGTACTAGTCACAACTGCCAAACGGTGGTAACCACTCGTGTCTATTGGCAGATAAAGGATGAACAAAAGTGTAGTCCATCCACACACTGAAATACTATTCAGCCACAGAAGGGAAGGAAGTCCTGACACCTGCTACATACAACACAGATAAACCCTGACAATGCGATGCCAGACTTTTTGAAAAAGCCCACCTGACAGGGGTGAGGGGGTGGCATCCACGTCTCTCTGCACCAGCTCGGTGGGTGGGAGTTCCACCTTTTCCTCCTCAGGCCCCCATCGGCTCTTTCGCTTCCTCTTCACAGTGGCTGTAGTGGCTGGCTTTCCATGGGCAGCTGGAGCTGGGTTGACACCAGGTGAGGGGGCAGATGAAGTAGGGCAAGCAGCAGTGAGGGGTACAGATCCCGACAGGATCTCAGGAGGCGGTCTGCGCTGAGGGCAGAGCTCCGGCACCATTTGGGTGCCTGTCGGGCCTGCCCTTGCTTTTCGGAACTCCTCCAGTTTCTGGCGGTAGTATTTGTAACCCTGGCTGCTGGGTTCGTACAGAAAGCTGCAAAGAAGAGTGGAGGGGCACACTGTCAGTTGGGGCAGGAGTAGCATGGGTCTTGTGCAAGCCCCCCAGGTCAGCCAGGGTCACTTCAGAGTCTCCACTATGGCCTCCTGTACTGCCAGGCCTCAGTGGCTGCTGGCTCTAGTGACCCAACACTGAAAAATAACATGGCCTGCCACGGCCTGTCACGATGCTGAGGGCCACACTAACCCCACCCCGACTTTATCGGGTGTCTGTCACACTTATTGATCCACTACTTCCAAGGAAAATGGTGGGCTCCCTCAGACCTGCCCCAGGTTCTGAGAAGCTCTTCCCCTGCTGTCCTAGAGGAGCACTAAAATCCTGAGGTGCAAGAGACATCTGGTGTCAGAAAGGACAAGATTTGCCCTAAACTGCACAGCTCAAACACTTGTATTTTTCTGATGCACTTGTGAGAGGTGCCAACAGCAAACACAGCCAAAACAAAGACAATTAACATAGGAACAAATGGGGACCTGGACTCCAACCCAAGGGCAAAAGTCCCTGCCTTGCTGGAAGCCACAAGTCCCTCAGTACCCTAAGGGGTAGTGCCCCCACCCCAAGGTAGGAACAGGTGGCACTGAGTTCAGAGCTGGTAAAACCTGCAGCTCCCTCTGCACCTGCCTGTTATCTCTTAGACCAGTGGTTGGCAAACTGATTAGTCAACAAAGTCAAATATCAACAGTGCTTCTTCAAAATAGACTCGCCCAGGCTGAAAACCGACTTCTGCAGATGGGCCACAAAGTTTCAATCGCACTGTACGTGCGCACCCGCACTTGATATTTTGGCCACACTCAAGGGGCCAAAGAGCCGCATGTGGCTCGTGAGCCACAGTTTGCTGACCACGGTCTTAGACTATGCATGTCCTGAGCCCTAATCCCACCTCTGGGGTCCACACCAGAAGGAAGAATCATAGCCCATATCCATGTAACAAGATCTGTGTATATCACAGGTCACATGGCCCTCAACAAGAGGGGCTAGACCTGCACTCACAAACCTGAAGGATTACAAAAGCAACATGCAAGCTCAAGGATGCTGTAAAATTTCTTTTGTATAAAAGACAACAGGAAAAAACCCTGTAGACTGTTTCTATGTGTCTAAATAGAGCCAGGAGAGAGGTGGAAGGACCCCCTAGACCAGCCGTGGGCAAACTAAGGCCAGCGGGCCGGATCCGGCCCATTTGAAATGAATAAAACTAAAAAAAAAAAAAGGCCTGTACCCTTTTATGTAATGATGTTTACTTTGAATTTATATTAGTTCACACAAACACTCCATCCATGCTTTTGTTCCGGCCCTCCGGTCCAGTTTAAGAACCCATTGTGGCCCTCGAGTCAAAAAGTTTTACCCACCCCTGCCCTAGACAAACTAATATTGGTACCTAGGGTGGGACGGAAGGACAAGGAAATGGCAGCATCTCCTTTGCACTCCTGGGTCATGATACAAGCATGCACACACCCTTTAGAAAACCCAGTAAGTGACCTTTGTAAAAATTACAGAGGAAACAAAGATCAATAAAACTGTTAAGCCTCTAGCCATGCTAAGAAAAAAGAGAAAACAAATTACTAATCACAAAAATGAAATAGGGGACATCACTACAAATCCTACAAACATTAACCCTTTGCGGTCGTATTAAATTTGGACATAGGTGTCGTACTGGTCGCAATTAATTTCCATTGAAAGAGCAGTGATACATAACATGCAAGATTATGAAGGATAAACAAGATTTATTAAATCTTTTTTGGAACTACGTCACTACTAGTAGAATCACTACAAACGTTATCACTTTCTACATCAGAGTCAGTATTCAAGGTGCCAAAATAAAACTCTTTATCGTTACTTTCAGATTCTCAGTACACTTCTTTTGGTAACTTTCTGGCATTTTGGAGTATTATTTTGAAATATCTTAACAAGTGAGAATGCCTAATTACAGTTAAATGTAATTTGTAAAGCTTTATTTGAAATTCTGCGAAGTATCTCCGAAGCTTGTCGATTTCTTCACTCTCAAAAGGCAACTGACTCGCCACGGTGTTTTGCATGGCGAGTGTGGAACGACCACGTTTGTTTATATTGAGTTTCGATATCTCCGATTTGTCGGGGCAATGTTTTGGTTCGTGACAAGGTCGCTTAGACACTTAAGAGCTTTCAGAGAAATTATGAACTGATACATGAATGAATAGATATAGATTTGTACGGTTCCTTACTGTGGTGGCTGAGAGCAGACATACGACCAGAACGGTAAAAAAGCTTTGGTGGCTGAGAGTAGACAAACGACCGCAAAGGGTTAAAAGGATAATAAAGAATTACTATGAACAACTCTATGCCCAAAAATTTGATAACACACACGAAATTAACTAATTATTTGAAAGACACAATCTGCCAAAACTCATACAGGAAGAAACAGACAACTCAAAGAGGCCTATTTTTATTTTAAAAAGTTGAATCATCCCAGCTGGTGTGGTTCAGTGGTTGAGCATCAACGCATGAACCAGGAGATCACGGTTTGATTCCCAGTCAGGGCACATGCCTGAGTTGTGGGCTTGATCCCCAGTGGGGGGTGTGCAGGAGGCAGCTGATCAATGATTCTCTCTCATCATTGATGTTTCTATCTCTTTCTTCCTCTCTGAAATAAATTTAAAAATTTTTTTAAAAAGTTG